AACCCAAAACACCCAAACTTGATTTTGCTATTATATAGAGAGGACACCATTTCACTATGCCATTGTATTTACTGTATATACTCATGTATAAGTCTAGAAATTTTAGTCAAAAATTGACCCAAAAAAACCTTACTCGACTTATCTACCGGTCAATGTTAGTACTGTACTTTAACTCTTATCGAAAAAGGAACCATCCCCTAGTGAAAGGCAAAACTGTAATCTGTCCTGGAAGCACTGACCCCCCTCTACTTTAACTGTCATGACTCCATCATGTGGAATCCTAGGATTTGTAGTTTGCTGTAGCACCAGAGACAGAGAAGGTCAAATAGCTCACAAAACTACAAATCCCAAAATTCCATAGTATGGGGGCCATGGCAGTTAAAGCGGTGTAAAACTGCATTAATTCTATAGTGTAGAATACTACAGTCATGCATCCTGTTGTAGTTTGTATTTTGGACTTGGACTCTGGGGATAAGGGTTCGATTCCCAGCTCGGCCATGAAACCCATTAAGTGACTTTGGGCAAGCCACATGCTCTCAGCCTCAGGGGCAGGATGACCAGATGTCATAATCGCAAAGAAGGACATGGCACTGCAAAATGTAGGCCATTCAAGACAAATGTAGGATATTGCAAAATAAAAGCTAAAAATACTAATATAAATGTATTTATTTACTGTATTTATAGCCCACTCTTCAGCCACAAAGGCTCTCATGTACATTCATGCTTCTTGGTCCTCCTCAAAATAGAGGACATTGTGAAATTCCTCCTGAACTGAAATGAAGGATAGAGGACAATGAAGGATAGAGGACATGGAAAAGGAGGACGTCTAGTCACCCTGCTTTGTAGCGACTCAGCATGGTGTAATGGTTTAAGTGTTGGACTATGACTCTGGAGACCAGGAGTCGAATCCTTGCTGGGCCACGAAACCCAATGGGGTGACCTTGGGCAAGTCACACACTCTCAGCCTCAAGGGAAGGCAATGACAAACCTCCTCTGAAGAAATCTTGCCAAGAAAACCCTATGATAGTGTCGACATAAATCGGAAATGACTTGAAGGCACACAACAACAATAACCACCTTGCATTACACTAGTCGCAGCAGTAACTGTCTAGGAAGTTTGGGACAAAATATTGCCAGGTGCTATTACACTGCTGTCAAAATAAAAATAAATTAAAAACACTCTGTGCATGCTAATACCAGCCAGTGCAATTAAGTAAACTCAGAGTATTCTGTGCATAAAACACACAGAGCCATGCTAGTCTATGGGGGGCAAGTAATCTTGTTTGGCCGTGATACAGGGTAATCATATGTCCTCCTTTTCCAGGGCAAGTCCTCCATTCCAACCTTCTGTCCAGGATTCCAAAATGTCCTCCATTTTGAGCATGACTAAGAAGCATGAATTTACATTTATGTGGGTGATTTTAGCTTGTTTTGGAACAGGGTGACCAGACACCCTCCTTTTCTAGGATGTGTCCTACATTTCAGTCCTCTGTGCAGGAGGAATTTCCAAAATGTCCCCCATTTTTAGCATGACTAAGTATTGATTTATATTTCTGTGGGTGTTTTTAGCTTTCATTTTGGAACAGGGTGACCAGACACATCCTCCTTTTCTTAAGGCATATCCTACATTTCAGCCTTCTGCCCAGGAGGAATTCCAAAACGTCCTCCATTTTGAG